TTCCTCCTGGTCCATCTCCCATCCCCGTGATAGGGAACATTCTGTCTCTAGCCACCGAGCCGCACGTCTTCCTCAAGAAGCAGAGTGAGGTTCATGGAAAGGTAATGTCTTGGACCAAAGTGCGTTTTGTGATTGCAATGCTTTTTAACCGAGTATTCTGCAAACTGTGCAGTGTAGGACTCTATGCAGGAGGTTTCAGACTTTCATGACACACACACACACACACACACACACACTGGGAAAAAGTTGTGAGACGAACAAAAGAGACTCGCCCTAACATTTGGCCAACATTTGGTCTGTAGCATTTGCATGGAGGAGAATAACCAGCAAATCAGGGGCTCCAAAAAATGAAAGCCTCCTCCCAAAAAAGAAAAAAGCACATATAAGGACACAAACTTCCTTTTTAGTGAGACATTGTAGGCTACTTTTTAAATGTACAGATAATTTAGGTGCACAACTGGATATCTCTGCAGATAGTAGAGTGATAGTAGATAGTAGAAAAAAAACACTAAATCTGTTTGATTCACTCATTGTCCTGTTAAATATCAGGGAGGTTGAACTAAGCCTCAGCTCTCTGGCTTCTGGAGAAGAGTAGGCACAAGCAAAATGTTGGAACATGCCAGCAATTGTGGCACAAATCTCACATACCTTGACAAACGCATTAACTTGCATTGAAATGTGTGCAAAGAACAAACAGAGTACAGTGCTCATGTTGCAATTTCTAACTTTCAGATTTTCAGTCTTGACCTAGGAGGCATCTTAACTGTGGTATTAAATGGATATGACTGTGTCAGGGAATGCCTTTACCATCAGAGCGAGCTGTTTGCTGATCGCCCATCACTGCCTTTATTCAAGAAAATGACCAAAATGGGTGGTAAGATGCTGTTACTAAAATTGCAAAGTATAGCCTATAATTTTACATGCAACAGTATCTGAATGAAATTGCAGTTGAAATGATTAATGATGAAAGTCTTCCGTGTTGTTTTTTTTTCTCCACCACCCAAAAGGGCTTCTCAATTGTAAATATGGCAAAGGCTGGATTGAACACCGTAAACTGGCGTGCAACTCTTTCCGTTACTTCGGCAGCGGCCAGAGACAGTTTGAGAGGAAGATCTCAGAGGAATGCATGTTCTTTGTTGATGCCATTGACGAACACAAGGGAAAGCCCTTCAACCCCAAACACCTAGTGACCAACGCCGTGTCTAACATCACCAACTTGATCATTTTTGGACAGCGTTTTCCTTACTATGACCACAACTTCCAGCACATGATTGAGATTTTCAGTGAGAACGTGGAGCTAGCGGTGAGTGGCTGGGCCCTGCTATATAATGCCTTCCCCTGGATTGAGTATGTCCCCTTTGGAAAACACCAGAAGCTGTTCCGTAATGCTGCAGAGGTGTATGACTTCTTACTGCAGGTTATAAAGGGTTTTTCACAGGGCAGGGTACCACATGTACCTCGCCACTATGTTGATGCCTATCTGGATGAGTTGGACCAGAATGCAGGAGACCCCAGTTCCTCTTTTTCCTATGAGAACCTCATCTATTCAGTGGGTGAGCTCATTATTGCTGGCACAGAGACCACGACTAACACCCTGCGTTGGGCCATGCTATACATGGCCCTCTACCCCAACATACAAGGTCAGTTATAGTAGAAGCATCAGCCCAAAATGAGAATATTTTACTTCTAATGTGACCAACAGAGATGCACATTTGTTCATAGAGAGAGTGTGCTCTAAAGTTATTGGTTATTTAATGTTACGCGTGAATAAATGCCTGACGATGTCTGTTTTTTCTTGCAAAGAGAGGGTCCACAGAGAGATCGACAGCGTGCTGGTCAATGGGAGGGCACCCACTTTGGAGGACAAACAAAAGATGCCCTATGTGGAGGCTGTTCTACACGAGATCCTTCGCTTCTGCAACATTGTCCCACTTGGTATTTTCCGTGCCACCTCTCAGGATGCAAAAGTCAACGGGTACACGATTCCCAAAGGCACCATGGTGATCACAAACCTCTACTCAGTGCACTTTGATGAGAAATACTGGAATGATCCAGGTGTTTTCTCACCACAAAGGTTTCTGGACAGCAATGGCAACTTTGTAAGGCGTGATGCCTTCCTGCCATTCTCTATAGGTTAGTCTCTTTATGTTTCTCTTAAATTCCAACACTCCTGATACAAATCATTGTGACTGTGGTAATTAAAGAGACTGTTACCAGTCAGGGGCTATTTAATGTTTTCATAAATCACATTTAAAAATCTAGAGTACTTCCTCCATCACTTTAGGTTGTTAGATAAGTGAAAACTGGCAGGTAATTAGAGTATGTTCCTGGTCAGCACTGATCCTAGAATCATATGCTGCCAAACCGTCAACAAAAACAAAACTCATGCGTTGTGCATCAACGACACTGAGGTCTTATTCACACTGAATTCTGTCTTTTGCTCTATTTCAAGAAATAAATGTCTTTAAAAGCCCTTTTGTTGATAAAAGAGCAATAACATTCTCTCTTTTCTTTTCCCATAGCACATTTTGATCAGTTCATTGGCCATATTAATGATCGCATCCATAGAATCCCCATATTCAAAACAAATGTGTTTTCTTGTTTTACCTCTCAAGCACGCTCAATCCTCAATTAAACCCATTTTTCCCCAAATCTGTAGTGTTCTCATTCCCCTATGTATTTGCTTGTATTGCTGAGGACTTGACTAAATTAGCCAGCCATTGGGCTGTATGTGTATGAGAGAGTCTAAATCAAAAAAATGTCTTTTTTCAGGGAGGCGTCAGTGTCTGGGCGAACAGCTGGCCAGGATGGAGATGTTCCTCTTTTTCACCACTTTGATGCAGAGGTTTCATCTGCAGTTCCCTCCAGGATCCGTTCCCTCTGTCACTCCCAAACTAGGCATGACTTTACAGCCCAAACCTTACTCCATCTGTGCTGTCCGCAGGCAGCAGAAAAGTTCTTGCTCTGGAGACACTACTTATCACAAGTAGGCAAGCAGCATTTACTACAGCTTGTTCAACCGTTCAAGCCAGAATTTTACTATTTTGCACAGCAATGCAAACACATGATAGAGGTGCATAAAACTGTATCACTCTGGATTATAATATCCAGTTACAGTGCATTACAGTTTTTCCAAAGGACTTTCAGTGACAAAAGTAGCTCTTTACATATGGACGTGATCCAGTTTATTAAATTAGCCTACTATCGAATTCCTTTACTGAGCAATATGCATGTTTGCACAATACTTTTAAGCAGCAGAGGAGGCGAAAGACTCAGTGCTGAAAGGACATCCTGGAAACACAAGTGTGCTATTGATTTAGTTCTCTGTAGCTCAGATTTTCTCTTAGCCCAGCCAGAAATGTCTATGAACCTTGGTGCGGTAGTGATGGGTTTAGTATGTGTCAATGATTGATAGTAAGTACACCTATAATGGTAGCTTCAGGTCAAACAAGTGACACCATGTGTGGGGCAAAATGGAACTTTCCACGAAAGTTCTGAACACTGTGTATTGAAGCTGGACATGGGCCAAGATTTACATCATCTGGACTGACTCTGACCCCTTCTCCAGGGATAGAGCTCTATGGAAAATCTGTCTCTTAGAAATTAAATGCAACCCTGGTGGATTTCTAGAAACTGACTATGCAACACTGGTTTCTGCTAAATGGTGCTTATCAGTACTAACAAAGTACTACATTTGTTTTTGAGGTTAACATTTGTTTGTCCCTTTTTTTGCAATACTGGTGTTATTTGTTTTTTTTTTATATTCATAAAGTCTTTCTTAAAGTCTTAAAGATATTGAAAAGTCACCCTGTCTTCTTTTAGCTGCTTAAAACCATACCAGAAAGATCTCATATTTATGACTTATGTGTTATTCACATATTAAGTCCCAGATTCTCTCATTCATTACTTGCATATTCATTTCAATAGTCCACAGCCTATTGATTCTGTGTCACAAGTCACAGGACACCCAACACAATCATTAATTATCATAATCTGTAAACTGGTGAAAAGCAGCAATGTGGCACACAAGCTCCTTTCCTCACTGCTCTCAGCAGAGAAATGCATTGACAATTCAATACATTGCGTGTTTTTCATGCAATGATTAATGGTACGGCGAGCAGATGGTATTTTCAGTTCCTTTTAGCCAACATAATACTTAATCCTGCATTAAAGGATTTGTTTTACTTTTTTGTCCACTTGGGGGCAGACCAACAATCTGTAAACACACTGACATAAAATCTTGATATGTTCACAAAACAGTTGCTTAACACAAATTGATATTAGCATCAATTTGAAGTTGTGTTTCAGGCACCCTGGTGAAGGTAAGTTCAATATTAACTCTCCTTTAAGCTCCATTTTCCTCTCCAGCAGCACCTGAGAGAAATATTTGGATCTTTAGCTGCTAAATGCTCCACTATATTCACCAGCTAGTGGCTAAGTTTGTCTCTGGGCAGGTGGTGTATAGTGGGTTTTTAGAACTTTTCCACTACAATCAGTGTCCTGCTATAGTCAAAAATGAAACTGATGAGCGTGGTAAGAGTGAACCAAAACAGTAAAGTTTTGGGCCATAAAACCAAAACACTGAGCGGAAAGACAAGTGTGCTAGAGATGAGGGGAACTGCAGAGCTGGCTTTCTGTGGGTTTATCACTGTGACTGTCTTCTTGCACATTATACATAGGGATTTCATCATTTGTTCATGTAAAAAAAAAAAAAAAGTCAAGGCTTAACAAGTGCAACATAAATAAGAGTGAGGGAGATGTCAATCAAATACATTTTGTGTAGACACATGCACAGACACAGTCCTGAGAGGAGGTGTAATCGGGGTTATAAGTGAAAAACACCTGTGTGGGTCTTTAAGATTATTCTCCACTGTTTGTGAGGTGGTATGAAGATAAATCTTAAGAATATATATATACACACATGTATAGTATATTGTGAATTCACAAACACATACACACACATTCATATACACCTACCAATAAAAATCAAAGAGAACTTCTGATACTTTAGGGATGGTGTTTTATGACAGCTATAAATAACAACAAAAATCAGTTGCCCCCACAATGTAGATAAGGGTGAATGGTTACATTAGACAAACGTACGTATACTGATGCTACATAAGGGTAACAACCATTCATAGATGTATTTATGGCACAATCATCAGAGGACACTGTGGTTTGAAAGACTGCACAGTGAGAAGCCAACAAACTTTTACAACTTAATGAACCAGAATATGTCGGGTCGGGATCTACCAAGGCTTTATGATCCAGCATGGGTCCATGTGAAAAAAACTGACGACAGAGTTGTCAGAATGCGTATGGCTCTGACCTGAGTCCAACTCCGACTCCTGACACCGTCACTGCCACTTTAAGTGCTGGTGGAATGTTTGCCTCAAAGTGTTTCTCTTGCATGAACAGTACTGGAGCCCGGAGAAAGTTTGCCAATCAGCGTATCACAGCCCACAAAACTACTGTATGTAGGTAAAGTTTGGCACTAGTTGGGTTGACTGAGACAACAGTGATAAGAGAGAGATTATGAAGAATACAAGAGTGGTTATGATACAGAACAGGGAGAGGCTGAAACGAAATCAAAATCAAAACACCAAACCCCACAGTTCCACACCTGTAAATAGAAGTAGATAAAAACTCTGGAAACACAATGGTAATTACAGGATCTCAATGTACAATATGTCAGCTGCATGTAGAAAACAGATGCATTCATTTGATTATTTAAAAAATATATATTTATATGCACATACTCTTTTGTACAGCGGCTAAACACTTGTTTGGTATTAAAATGTGCACACCTGTGTCTATTTTTTTGTCTTTAAATATTTACGATCTTGATTTACACTGTTTACTTAATATTTTCTCCAGAGATTTTGATTTAATAAAGGAGCTAAAGGAGCTAGGCAACAATTCTGCCGTCCCTTTCATAAAAGGTCTTATTCTAGTGGAATGCCAAGAGTTCTTAGAGACAAAAATAGAGAACTAGTAGGTTTTTTTTTTAAAAAACCTGCCTCCTGGATCCCTTCTTTACACACTGGCCAAGTTACGGGTTTGGCAAAAACAAACAAAAGAAAATTAGGAAAAGGAGAGTTGGGTGAGCTTTCAATTTGTCTAAACATCAGTGTTTGCCTGCTGACTAAAACACAGATGAGTAGACATTGTACTGTTTGTTTAAAAACAATGCAGAGAACATAGGATTAAAAAAACAAACATTACCTAATATACTGTTAAAGAACTACAACATTGTACAATGTGCTGTGTTTCTGCAGGAGACATCTGCAGTCTGCTGACAATCAAGATAAGCTTTTCTCCAGTGAGGTTGTAAAAAGGTTATGCAAACAGTGTATGGATGGCCAAGAGACAGCACATACTGTATGCTCCTCTGTCACAGAGGATTTCAATTGCTTGAATTTGTAGTCAAGTTGTTCATTAAGAGATTACAAACTACTTCAGTCACCCAGATTTTAATTTTCTTAGTTTTTACGGTGTATTTCATATTAATGACATAAATTCTTGCAAAATAATTATTCAACTTTGCATGAATCCTGAGTAACCTTTAAAAAATACTTAGAATAAAAAAAAAAAAGGAAAATGAAGAATCCATTCATTGAAACAGCACTCCTGATCTCAATGCAACATGTTAAAACACCAGAGGACATTTCACTGATTAGAAACCAACCATTACAGAGGACACACAAACGCACACACAAAATACATACCAAAATAATTAAAAATGTGCTCTCTTTCTCCCTGCTCAGTCTCTCTATATCGCATTCCCACTTCCAAAAAATATTCACACACACACTCAAAGCGAGGAAAGTTAAAGAATCCGAAAGAAAAAACAAAGACGGGTGGTACACATGAGTAAAAGCATCAAAAATGATGCAGATATAATGCTATTAATCAGTCAACATTTCAATAATGTCTCTGTGACTGAGTCTGATACAGTGTTTTGTGTCACCAGCAAGGAGAGAGAACTACACAAGCCTAGGCTCTGGGCCAATATGGACTCAGTAAAGGTTCAGACAGGCACATTTGATATATATATGTGTATATATATATATATATATATAATTAAAAAATATACCTGACATTGAGGCTGAAACGGTGTCAGTCTCATGTCTTTCCATGTTAAACTGTTCACTTTGGTAAAGGGTATCAATCTCTTCATGATGTCGCTTGCTTCATTATTTTTCCTCTACCTTTCATTTTTAAATAGACAGGAATTGTTTTGTACCTAAGGGAGGTGTAAGCGCTTTTGCATTCAAGCCAGCATCACAGCCAGGTCACAATGGAGGGCAAGTTAATGCTGTACCCCACCCACACTCTTCTTCTGCACCTTCCTCCTCAGTTCTGGTGCTTTTTTCTTATTTATAATTTTTATTTCTTTTACCGGGTGCACTCGACTCTCCATGGGGTGAAAGTGCATAGGAGTTGGGCTCCCACCGTTGCAGCAAGAATCCGCTCACAGTAGTAAGGCCTTTTTGTTTCTCCAAAAACAATGACTGCTTAAGCATCTGAGTGTCTGCACAGTGAATCTTTCAATATATGTGTGTGTGTGTGTGTGTGTGTGTGTTTGTGTGTGAGAGAGAGAGCGGGAGCAAAGTGTGTTTTATGTGCATTTGTCAACTGTGTGTGTGTGTTTCTCATGTTCATGTTGGTGAAAGGCAGGTGGTTGAGGGAGTCATGTCCTTACACTGCCTCTCCTCTTCTTTTTCACGCATCTCTGTTCTTTCTTTCATCCTCCTGTTACTGACGCTCCTCTCCCTCCTCCTCCTCCTGGATGACCTGGATGTCATCTGACGGGGAGGTGGGCAGGCTGGCCGGCAGGCTGGGGAGCAGGCTGTCGGACTGCTGCTGCTGTTTGCCAAGCTCTTTGCTCTTCTCCTCCTCCTCGATGGTCTTCTTCCACACCTTGTGGTTCTCCGTCAGGTGTTGCATGATGTTGCAGAACAACCTGCGGCGGTTCTTCCTCCTTTCTGCAACAAACAAAACAAAGAAATGTTTCAGAAAATCTAGACTGGCTACCTGTAATCTTATCTGTCAAAGTAAACTTGACGGTGCTGACGAGCTGTTGGGTGTCTTACTTGGTACCAGCTCATCCTCTAGCTCATCCTCTTCATCCTCATCTTCATCCGTGTCTGTGTCCACTTGCCCCTCCTCATCGTCTTCATCTGATCCCGCTTCGTTGATCCAGTAGCCAGGAAGAAGGCCAGCAGCATCGTAGGAGTTACAAAGTGGCCCTACTATATGAGTGATGAAGGACTCCTGTAGCTTTGCCAGCTGTGGGGAGGAGCGGTCCATGAAGGGGCTGATGGGTAATCCCAACCTTGCCTCCTCATCTCCCTGCAGATTAAAAACAAAGATTACAGTTAAAAACACATCTCACAAACACAGATCTTTAGTGATGAGCCTTGATACTTAAGTCAAACTACATCACAATCACAGAGGAGCAGAATACTATTGCAGTTATAATTACTCTGAAAAGGTTTTAAAGACTTTTTTCCTAGTCATCTTTTAATTGTCTTTTCTTTTAGTTCAGTTCATTTCAGTTCAATATGCTTTATTGGCATGAATGTTTAAGTTAAACAATGTTGTCCACGCGGTTTACAGTCACAAAATCACAAAGTTTCCATTTGAATATATAATAACAAGAATTAATGCAATCATGATTGTTCAATTTAGCAGTTATAAGTTACAACAAAAACAACAAATACAGGATAGAATGTAAAACACAAACAAGAATGAATCAGATTTAACATGCCATGCAGCGAACAATGAGTACAACAGTTGGCTGAGTCACTCACTGTCCTTCAGGTTGTGACACAGGGACACATACTTGGCAGCAACGTTTGCCGTATGTCCGTCTCCTAGGATTATTCTTTATTTATTGTTGAAGTTCTTTGAAATCTGGTATTAATAGATGGAATTTCTCAAAATATTGCGTTATTATGCTTCTATATTTATCACATTTCAGGAAAAAATGCGTCTCTGTCTCCACCTCACCTGTCGTATAGTGCTCACATACGGACTTTTTGAATTGCAAGCTGCCTCTGCTTGATATCTCTAACAGTAGACAGATATTCAGCCATTCAGTTTTTATTATCAGATATTCAGTTTGTATCTCTGGGATATGCTAGAGGGGGACTAACAGTAAAGTTTTTCCTGTCCCTTATGGTTTTCTGTTCTCTTTCTCGTGCTTGTCTTTGTTTATTACCTTGTTTTTGGTGCTGTTTGTTTGAACTCGGAGTGGATCCGAATCATGGGGCGAATTCACAAACTATTTTTCACGAGAGAGGTCGGTATAGGTGTCTGTTATGTGTTCTGTCCTTTCTGTTTGTGGTGGGAACTGGGCTGCAAATGCAATATAAAGACAGAATGAAATTTACCTGTTCATAAAACTCATTGACGATGCCTTCTGTCCACTTGAGGTGCAGGTCACGGACTTTGGCAGGTCCATTGATATCTGCTAGCTTGATACACACTTGGCACACCAGCAGTCTGTCATTCTCATTGGTCCAGTCGATTCCTGGACTGTTCACATCATTCACCTGTTAATGAAAAAAGTTGGATGACTTACACAACTGGTCGACTGGTTTCTCCTGCAGCCATTATATGGCGTACTGCTCAACTAAATGTAAACGTACCATCCCAATATTTTGCCAGTAATTAAAGGATCAATAAATAGATAATGATCTATTCTGATCATATAACTCAGCAATCTGTTAAGATTTCTTCATCTCAGACCTTAGCGTTGAACTCAGCCAGGAAGTCAAATGCTTCTTGAGGTCTGTGGCCAGTATTGCCTCGATGACAAGGAAGCGGAAACGCTTGAACTCCACGTGGTCCAGGTTGACCAGGAAGTTGAACTCTGGCCGGGACAGGTAGAGGCTCCAGGCAGACGCAGCGTGGTGGTTCTCCAGCACCGACCTGTCATTATACAGCACTGCCTACACCGCACAAGAAGGAAAGGCCAAGTGGTGAGAGAGGGGAAAGGCGGCATGCTAAGAAGATTCCTATAATTTCCTCTAAAATGTTAGTAATACATTTGCTTGTATAATACGTCAGCATATGTGTTACACAATTTGTAATGGATTTAAAAATAGCAAGCACTCAATAAATGACATAAAAAGGACACGAGGGTATTTGATTATGAAAGTAGAAATGTAACAGGCTCAAGCGCACATACAGCTGAAGGGAGAAGCAGGTTAAAAGCAGTTTCAGGGACATTAGACAAAATGGAAGGCTTAAAAGATCCTTTTAACAGACATGGTGGTTGTCATCATCATTAGCAATCAATAGGTTCAGGGTTCCCTCTTCTTTCTTTTAACCCACTTTCCTGGGACATTTACAAAACCCAGCCATTGCAAGTGCTATCACTTGACATGTTGTGAAAATACAATATTTAAACTGGGGCACGCAGTTAACCTTTTCACCCCTCATTTATATGGCTGACCACAATGAGCGAGCACAATACGATTAACTGGCCATGCGGTGGGGCGTTAATCTTGAACACGATCTCAAATTGAGACACAGTTTGTAAAGATAATTTAACTTTGTGTTAATTTTGGAACATCAAATAATTGTCCCTCCTTGTATATATATATTTATATCCATCGATGCAAAAACCTTGTTAACCTGGTGAATGTATGACTGCAGCACTCACATACCCTAAGAGGCGACTGTTTTTTTGTTAAATGATACCTGGTATAGTCTGGCTTTGCGTTATGAAGCCATGAAGCGTGTAAGTAAAGGTCATGTAAATAAAATGTTGACTGTAAAGTTAAACTGTAAAACTGGAGACGTGGTTTCTTTAGGATACTAACAAAAACATTTCCAGTGAATGGTTTTTAGTTCTACATCTACAACGTGAGGCAGTCCAGGCACAGGATATGCAGGCAGCCAACTGTGTACAGCTCCCCATGCAGTGCATGCGTAGGTTGATCACTGTATTGATTGGCAATTTTTCTGTGGTCAAGCAGAACCCCACCCCCCACCCCCAGATGTGCAGCATCCACTAGGGGCCACTCAGACAGACTTTGTCACCACTGCAGAGAGACAGCTGTGTGATTTTTGTGTTTGTACACAGGGCTTGTTTTGGGGGCAAGACGCCAGCTGTGATATTTGCCCTTGGTATGTTGGTCTTGAAAGAACACATTTTCCTGTTAGAAGGCAGCAATGACCCTCGTCTAACCCTCACCTAACTTCCTAAAGGCATGGTCAAATGTACCAGTTTTTCCAAACTATTTGTCGCTCTTTAGAACAACAAATGTAATCTTGTTTTTTTCCTCGTACGACTGCAGGCACGCTTCAAACTCGGCGAGACAAGAATATTCTGAAGCAGCTGCTGGTATATCTGCCATTGCGGAGTCGCAGAAGCGCTACTGTACTTTATCAAGTGCGTATGTGCAAGAGTTCGCAAATCTAGGGTTATCATTTAGGCACAACCACATGAAGGGGGTCACTTTAAAAGGTAAAGTTGACATCCAACACAAGTGTGCAAAACATCAAGTCCAGGATTGCCCAGGTGTACACAAAGTATAGGACCAATGTTCATGGTGTCATCAACTTACTGGGTATGCATGCTAAGTGGCAGGGGTCATTGAAATAGCTACTTATGTACAGTATATATATCTATCTTCCGACATCATATTCAACAATTGTGGCGAAATGTAATTTTGCATAAACCCTTATTTTGAACATCTGTAAATATGACTGTGTTTTTGTGTCCCAGTGAGTAAAAATAAGTTTGTCGATTCAATCTACAACACTTTCAAACCCAGTAAATGTTGCAGTTTACCTGAGCTGCATTAGTAGCTACTAGAAAGGCATTTGTGCGACCAGGGTGGTCATAGTCGTGCATTGCAGCTGCTACATAAAGGGCCATGAGCTCCAGGGCAGGTATGTTCCAGGCCAGGCAGCCATAGCTGTCATCTGAAATCGAGGAGCTTTTGGAGGAGGCGTAGGATATCCTGCCTGGAGAGATCCCACTATCTGAATCTAGAATAGGACAACAAACAAGATGGATGTCAACGGGTGCCACAGTGATGGAAAATCAGGGTTAGACCTACGCAGTCATTATAAAATCAGGTTAGAATTGCAGCTTTTCCACCATTAATCAAAACCTAACTTTTGACTTTTCTCTACAATTTAAACTGCCCACCCCCCCCAACATACACACACACACACACACACACCCCCTGTTCTATTCTCATTTATTCTTAAATTCCTCCTTTCACTGCCATTTTCTCATCCCCTTCTCGCTGTCCCCTCTTATCAAATAAAAGCTGTGCTGGCAGCCTCAATGGAGACGTCAGTGGATAAGCCTCAGGTAATTTCTAATGGAACTAAAATATCATCAGCAGAGACGAGCCAGGGAATCTTCAAAAAACCACAAACAAAATCTGCCAGAATGACTTCATTTCTGCCATCAGCAGGTAGCCATGTAATGATTGGTCTGAATTTTTAAAAAAGCAGCAGCATACACTAGAGTACAAAATGTTGTTTTTCCAAGGAAGGTGTTTAAAAAGTCCTCTACCTCTTCTCATAATGCCTCGGTTAAAATAATTATTTTTATTTGCAAGCCTAAAAACTTCTCTTCATCTCCTTCAACCTCAGACAAATAGGAGGCGAGGAATTTTCTTTTTGAGAATTTCTAATAATTGTGTTATTATTATTATAATAATAAGTGTATTTTCAGTTATTCTCCTCAAGTTAATCAAATTCTTGTAAGATTATTTTGTGAATATGTGCCTACCTGAGACTGCCTGAGACATTGTGATGGCACCACACTTCTATGTATACTGTATAGGTGACAACTACATACTAATCATATTCGGACCTCTAACACAATATGTTCATTAGGATCGGTACACCCAAATGTATTCAGCTAATTCAAGACTATATTTTCAATGATAGACACATTTTGAAGGTTTTCATACTGCTACTTTATACTCCACTCAACTATGTATGTATTTAAAACAATATTTAATGGTGATATCAGATAAGTCCATTTAGGACAGTTACTGTGAGCAGGCTCTCATGAAAAATTGTGAGTAGAGACTGAATGATAAAAAGAACTGGCTAACATCTAAACTACACATCAGAGATTAAATGGTGCAATCATGCATTTAGCCTAAATTGAATCTTGCACAGCCACATGTTCCACAACGTGTGACAACGATCTGTGACCAATGAGTTTAGGAGCCTACCTGTGTCACTTCCTGTCACATGTTCACTGTGAATCTGCTGGAACCCAGGGATTGGTCGAGTGGTCAGGTACCAGACAGCATGGAGCACATCAGTAGCATGGACCCGGTTGTGATCTGTGTGTTTGTAACCGCAATAATTACTTTATTTTACCACGTACACCAGCAATAATTAGAGACACAATTGGTCCTTAATTCATCCATTAATACACATGAACATATAGTGATAACACATACAAATCAAATGTATGTCTTTGAATTTCTTGAAGACTGAACAGTGTAAACACTCACAGGGAATGTCCCTGTAGCCATTTTCCAGAGCACAGAAGTATGTCATGAACTCCCTCACAGGGATCTTGAAAATTTCAAACAGACACGTATCCTGGAAAAGGGTATATGTCACCTGCAGAAACACAAATCATTGTTACTGAAACACCTATCAGAGATAACCAGCACAGTCAATGATGTTTAGTGGAATATTAAAAACACAATTGAAATAACTTTGTGCACATCATTACGCATAGACAAGAAGTTCACGGTCTGCTGAAATACCGAGATGTAATTTCAAGCTGAAATCACTACTTCACTAATCATCTGCACTTAGCATACTTAGCACTTGCATATTAACATTTGCAATGCTGTACATCTGTGGCTTGACTCACATGTAGAACAGGTCCACCTGTATGCTAAGCTGTACCAGTATTGCACTTGTTACTTGTGGTTAACAAAATTACAAAATTTGGTTGGTCACACAGATCTCTTTTCAGGAAAATAGAACCCTTAAATTTCACATAGGTTGGTAGGTTTATTGTCACAATATAACAAGGTACAGAGTAAAATTGAGTTTTGTAACTCCCTTCTGCTACATAGCACACATTATACATTAATACAGAATCAATTATAAAAAATTGTAAACAGAAATAAACTATAATCACATTAGAGTTTATAACATAACCAAACATGGGCATATAACATTTAGACTAAAAGGCTAAAAGTGTTGCTAGCAAGTCCTAATAGCTGCAATAATCATTATATCCCACTTAATAGAACTACTATAGCTACAGGAGATGACTGGTCGGTGGTTGTTGTACTAACATAGCTGAGTATCCTTCCTGTCTTCCCGCCTGTTTTGTCCACCAGGTCAAAGATCTGGAAGTTCCAGGTGTTCATCCGCTCCATGACAGCCTCATGGTCCTCCAGCATAGGATCTAGTCTGAACTCCTGCTCACCCTGGAGACAATCAGAAAATGCTTGTTGTAGAAAAATTGTAGAGATTAGAAGATAGTATTTCCACTGGCGCCAAATGTTCTGAACATGCAAAAACAAGCATTATACAGAATACTGAAATAATCTGAGACACATTAAACTCATCAAAGAATAAGATATAATAATGAAATATTAAATAATTAAAAATTTAATGAAACACTTGGCACAGCTAGAGCTTTAACAACAAAAGGCTTTTTGTTGAATGAAGGGGAATGACAGGTCAGATGAATTGTCGGCTGGATATGGAAACCCAAGTGATACTAATTAAATAAAACGTAAAATGGCTGTGGGTTCAACTCTCAAAGCAACCACATGTCCAGGTGCATGAATAAAATATATGCTTATTATCATTGTAAACAAGTCTAGATAAATTATGAGCTAAATGAAACGTAACTATAGCAGGTGTGCGGCTGATGTGGTCACTTATGGCAAGGAAAAATACAATGACAAAAAGGGCATAGGGTATCCACATCCAAACTTCTGCAGGTCCAGGACCAATAAGCAAACTCAAGGCAAGAATCTAACAAAAGATCTGCACACTGTACTAATAGCTCCCATCAAGTTGTGTTAGACGTTCCAGTTAGCTGAAGGAAAAATACAACAACATGACAAATGGAATAACTGTTGCGCTGCAGTATACACTCATATTGTAAGTAGAACCCCTCTGACCGAGCACACCTCTGATTCCTGAGTCTGCTGGTCTGTGCTCGGGCTCTTCTCCTTCTCCTCTTCCGCCTGCCCCTGGTTCCCTGCAACGCCTGGCCCGCTGTCGCCGGACACGTCCACCTCAACGCTCTCCTCTCTGATCAGATGCTCTCCTGGGAACTCCAGCCCTTCCCCTGCTGCAATGAGTATATGGACAAACACAAACACATAGAAAAAAAGAAAACAAGAAGAAGATGTTTTTACTGTGCATCATCACGTTACTTGTGTTACAATGTGTTTAAATTTTAAAATGAATTTAAGGAACACACAAAATGGAAAACTTTTCAAAATTTAACTATTAGGATTTACCCTAAAAGTATTTGAATGGGCTTTTGATACTAGAATTACTTGTATACAGTAAACAAACTCTAGCTATTCAACAAGATTTTACTAAATTGACATTTACAAATTTTAAGTTTATTAATACGATACTTTATTGGAAGATACAATAGGGAAAATATATACACCTGTCAGTTTGTGTGCATAAACCTGCATTATTGTTTGCGTCCAGCAGAGGGCAGTATAACACCCCTAAATTGCTGTGTTTTTCTTTCAATCCCCAACAGCAGCACTGGTCAATACTTTCTGCCACCACTCCATAACACTGTATGTAATTGTATGTACCTGAGCGCCTGCGTTGGGCCTCACTGGTAAATGGCTGATGAGATTCCCCTGTATCACTGCCGGAAATTCCCTTGAGCATCTGCCGACCACAGCTACAATGGACAGACAATCACACACATGATCAATTGCAGTGCGTTTTTGTATTTTTATAAACAACAACATAAAAGACGCAGTAACATTCCACTTCAGTACTGCAGGTCTCACCTGGTGCAGATAGGGAAGGTGGAGCTACGGAAGGCCTGCTGGAAATCAGACGAGCTGAGGTTGTAGCCTAAGGGCTTGTGCAGGTTCAGATTGACACTGGGCTTTGTCAGGAAGTCAGCCGTGTCTGGGAACTCAACAGGTGGTCGAGTGACAAGTGACGTTGAAGAACCTGCGCCTACTGCGAGAGGACCATGGCTTGGTGAGGTGACTGGGCTCAGGCTCGGAGATGTGCCTGAAGAGGACGAAGGGAGCACAGGAAAAGAGAAAGGCATGAGATTCAGTCAAAGCATGATGAATTTAATCAAAATGTAGTGGTTAAGTCTCACCTGCTCTCCTGGGCCCTGCATGGTAGGTGAGGGTAACAGAGGAAGACCTCTGTTTGGGAATGGTGAGCAGGTTTGCATTGGGCCCATTAGACAGACCTGGGCTGGAGCACAGAAAACATATATTTAATGCTGCCTCTAAATAACTTCTTCCAACTCTAAGCAAACTTGTTGAAGAATACTCTTTTGAAGCAGTCTTACTGCTATATGTTTTGCCTCATCTTGTGCACAAAAGGGCTACAGTACAAGGCTACACTATCCTCTGTCGAGTCAGCCGTTTAACACTTCTATAACAAACAGAACAGGATGATCTTCAACTGAAAGAAGCCCATCGGCCAACATAGCTAGTCCTCTACTGTCACCCAGTGGAAACATATAGACACTACACCCCAAGTTTTCAAGTTTGAACTTGAAAAGATTATGTATAATTTTTTGTAAAAGTTTGTTACAGTTACAAAGAAACCTGATCTCCTCCTAAAGCATTTAAACAGTATTTACCGTTATTATAAGTTTAAGTCATTCCTGGATTGTGTAAAATGTGGATCTGAGATGACACTATGTGACACGTTAACAACGCCTTCTGCTTTTGGTTTCTCTGCGTCTCTCTGAAACTCACACAGGGCTCACAGGTACATTTTGATGTTGGCAAAAAACCTCATGAAAGGAAGTGATGGAACCTAATTTCTTGTTTGTTAGAGGCACAGACAGTATTGTAATGTGTGACAGTATAAATGTTCCATCTATTTACATATTTGTTTCTCCGTTGATTAGTCAAAAGGGTCTGGTCTGTCCCATGAAGCAGGATTTGTGGGTTAGCTCGTTAGCTCGCTAAACTTTGTGCTTCTCGGTCTCATACAGACAGCTTCAAACCACATCAAAAGCCAAACCGGCAAGGAGCTATTTTTTATCACTTCCTCACAGTGTGGGAAGTGAAAAGTGACATGTTTACAAAACCATTTGCTTTTCATGATAATTTTTTGTATCAATTTTAGACATATATTAAATGTTTTTTAGTTTGACCAACATTCCGCTCTGGCAAGAACAGCAACACCTAAGCATAGACTCAGTTACATGATGATATAGCAATGTCATAGACTATAGCATGAAACGTGGATGTGTAGTGAGACAAGGAGGGATGTAAAAGAATAAAGGCAAAAGAGTATAGTGACAGTTTTAACTGTCAAATCTGGCTTCTCTATTCAAACCCATGCTCTACATTTTTCACCTGGTCCTCTGAATAAGCATTTGTAATACACAGCTGACCTGGTTTCCTGTGAAGTGTACCATTTCTCTCACTACTTTTATAGTGAAGATGATTTATTGCTTATTTAGAGCTCACCAAGGCCCATTCATAACTTTTTTTCAGGATAGACCAAAAATGACCCTTGATTTCATTGTGCACAGTGCTGCTGAGGAAGACCATTCCTGGAGTACAGTCACATTATTCACATTATTCTTGCAAGAACAGATATTTATCTGGTCCAAAGTTGGGCAGAATAGGGGTAAACACAGACACTGTATCTGAGAGTTGGTACCTGGTCAAGTTGAGGTCAGGGTGGGGTCTCTTGCCACTGTTACGTTCCCAGCGCGAAGAGGCGGAGTCAAGAGAAGGGAGTGCGGAGCACGAGGAAGAGGTGGAGCTCCGTCTGGGCTGAGGGGTGGGGAGGCTGTTTCTGCTACTCAAACCCTGGTGGGCAAATATATATATATCTATGTTTTATACACACACTGAGGATGCTGGTCATGTACACAACAACATTATCACACCTGAAAGCTACGAGAATTTGTTAACTTAGGCCATGTTCAGACTGACAACAACACATCTTTAAAATAAAATAAAATATTCATACCATTTATTAATTTTAATGAGACCAGCAGTTGCAAAACAACACGTGTCGTACAGGCTAAATGTTTAACCTGGATCAACTTTCACCACATCGCAATGCAGCGTCATCTGGAAACACACCACGTCATCTGGCCTATCACATATGTGAATGCCGAATTCTGTGAATTCTGTTATCTACCTTGTGATCATCAAGATAAAATGTTGTTATGGCAACTTTCCAAAGTTGTAAAATCCTTTCATCTTATTAAATCTTATTTCACACAACTCTTATTAGTTAACGCCCTTCCCAGGAGGACCAAGTGTCAAGAACTGCAGTAGATGGAGGACTGGACATTCTAAACAGGAAGAAAGCAAAAAGCAAAACCTAGATAATTATTTTACTTCATATTATACATGACACTATGGACACAGTGTTCCTAAGTTTAGATACTGGGGCTCTTTCAGTACTGGGATGTTTTGACTGCAATGGCCTATTACTCGTCTCTGCATGTATCCATACTAGTTTGGTCCAGTTGTAAGGCCTGTATCTACCTTAATGGTTTTCCTGTCACTCCTCTCCACAGGGTCCTCCACCTCATCGCAGGGGTAGAAACCTGGAAAGGGGGTGAAGGGGTTCACCCTGGGGCGGCACGAGCCTGAAAATGTGCCCATGAGGCTGGAGATGCTGCGCAGAGCTGAGATGGTGTGCGGCGACAGAGAGAGTCCATGAGCAGGTCCGACACCAGGTTCCTGGCCTCGTTGATGACCGAAAGATCCACGCCGTTGCCGCTCACCGCCCCCTGCCGTGTGCACACAAAAGGCACCGTCAAGAGGGCAACCTCAGAGCAGCACATTATTTGCATACACAAAGGTACTCTCTTTTCAAAATGCTTGAGGGAAAGTTTGGTTAGTTGTCAGTTGGCTTCCCAGGTGAAAATAGATCCCAACTTTTGGCTTATGGCTTGATACAGTTTTGTCTCCTAGCCTCCTGCTCGAATGCACTGTAATATAGACAACAGACAGGGTGTGACAATTACCCATTCATGGCACCAACGTAAGAGGCTGTTTCAGCCAGTGGTGTTGTGGTAGGAGCAACGGCATCATGTATACACTGCTGATAAAGATCCCCCATCTCTCTCTACAATCTTTTTTCTCCATCTTCATTTCTTTTAGGAATCCCATTTTACCAGAGTTGACTTTGCTGATATTTACTACTACTAACTTCCTCTCCCACCTAATTCTTCTCCTCGTCTCTCTTCTCTTCCTCTCGCAACAGTAACAACTACTACAGTATATTTGGAGGAAAATCGACTATATCTAGAGCCCATATGAGGGCAGGTTTCATGAGGGACAGTGTTGTGACTGGCTTGGCCCTGTCTAACAGGCACAAATAATGATTTCTCTGTGGGACCTAAATTCTTTGATAGATTACACAAGTACTTCAAACAAGACAAAGAATGACAACCATTCCAAGGTCACTGTATGCCAGGTTTTACACAATGTGTGTTTTGCCAAACCCAAAATATCAGAAAAAGAACTGAATGTCCTGAGGGTGATAGAGATCAGAGACCACTCCATCTGAAAAGATCTGTATTATCTCTGTGATACCAGAATGATCCGCACATGTACCACTGCACTACAAAAACACGCAAGCTGAAAGGAACACAATACTGACCTGATACTGTGGTTTGTACCAGTGTTTCAAATCCCAGTCCCACAAGATCATCTGAAAAACACAAGGGAGACACATAAAATGTCAGTCAAACGTGATCATTGTGTATGTGCATAACAGAGAATATAAAATGTGTTTGCACAGAAAGAGCACAGGCTTTGACCTATGCTCCACTTTTAAGCACACTATTACTTTTCAGCGAGGGCACTGGCAGGTCTGCAACTAGCTACTTACTAACTGCTAGTGTATTCTGCCTATTATCTGAACTCACAGTGTAGTAACAGTTTACATTTTAAGGATTTCCTGCACCACATGATGCACTTTCTACTCCAGGTATGCTAATGCACACTGCCTCAGCGACAGCAGACTGAGGCCTTTCACTGAAAGCAAAAGAAGAAAAGCAAACCGCTAAAACCACCGTGGTGCATCTACAATGGAGCTACGAGATCTTATCTAGCTCCAACTACGTCAATCGGCAGCATTTTCACGCTATCTGTTGGTAACCAAACAGGAGCTCTCACACGTTACAGCAGTGTATAGTCAAAGTTGGTGTAGGTTGTGTAACATCAAGTTGATGTACCTGAAATACCCTAATCCTAATAAATAACCTGAAGTACAACCACAATACAAATTTCATAGAAATGAATTAGGCTAGTTCAGTTAGCAATTAACTAGGTTTGTTCCACAGTCCAATCATATTTTTTGCACATTCACAGATTTTCTTAACATGTGCGTTTCAATTTTTTCAGCCATGTGATATGAATGTAGCAGTTTTTAGTTTAGTTATTGTCATGTAAATTCCAGGCATTATCCACAACATGTCTATTAAAAAGCCACCATGCAGTCTCAACCCACACCACAGGGGGGAGAAAGACAGAGCCTCATTTCAGAAGCGCCTCTATCAACCTTCTCCAGCAACCCCAACCTAATGTGTAGACTGTATAGTGTAAACACACGAGCGTATATATCCTTCTTTTTAACATCTCAGCAAGTCATCATATTGTCAGGAATAATCAAAGCACACAATACAACAAATAAAAAATGGAAAAAGATTTTACACTGGATTAATCCTCAAACCGTAAAACAACTTTATTTTAGAGGATAGTTTTAAATTAGATAGACATACATGTTTCACTTTTCTGCATACACAACCTACAGTACATAATATCTATAACTAAGGTTGTTAAATAGATTGGTGGCTGCATCCCATCGCCCCTACTCAGTAACTGTTTCATTGATCAAAGTGGGATGTTGGGTGTTTGTCATCAGCATCTGTACAATGCTGCCAAACATTTAATATGGCAAATAAGCCCTGCCATGGCAACCTGACATAGAGGCCAGCAAACAATGCTCTGTACACCATGGCAACGGGATGGCGGGAGACGGCTGGAGGACAGAGTTGTTGGCCTTCTGCTTGTTTACGGAGAGACGCAGAAGGGCTGAAACAGAGAGGGAGACGGGTAAAAGCTGAAGGAGAGGATGCCATTAGGGAGGAGATGAGAGTAAAGAGCAGAGAACTATAGACGGAGATAAAAAAAAGAAACACACACAATAGGGCTTTAAATGAATTTGAAGTAATATTGCGATTACTTTGACTGATTTTGCAATTGCTATATGATTTGCGATATTGGAGGGAATAATCATTTTTACATCATTATTCTCATTTTCATTGAAAAACATAGTAAAATGAATTATGGTGTGATTGCTGCAAGGATCAGTACCAAACAAAGATGGTTTCTTAGGGTCTCTAGAATATGATGTGTAGGCCAGGACATCTTTGCAGCACGACAATGTTTGGTATTGGTATAAATGGTATTTTGACATATATCGCCTTTCACAAATATTGCAATCTGAAAACTCCAACAGGCCATTATGATAAAATTTTGATTAATTGTTCAGCTCTACAAAGTCACACAATACAGCATAGTGTGTCTACAATCTGTCTACACCAGCATGCTCTGTGCGCGATGCACAAAAAAACCTGAAAAGTCTTCTGCGACTTTCACACAGCACAGAAACAGGAAAAGCTGGCTAAATGGGCACCACCACCATCATTAGAGCGCGTGCCAAGCTACAACTTATTTACAGTGAGGGCCTTCTGCCAGCTATGAGATTAAAATCTTTCAATGAAGGATATTTTCTTCACTGAAAACATGACACAAGGGCAGACACATAGACAAAGACACAACTGGGGCAGCAGAGACCTGTGCACATGCATACACGGACACACGCACACTGAAAAACACACACATTATTTCTCACATCTGAGACATTTAGCAGAAACTAACTTTTCAGTACACTGAGGTACAAGCACTTTGCACTTTGAGTATTTCCATTTTATCCTACTTTATACTTCCACTCAACTACATTTACAAAGGATATACTGTAATTGTTAATCTGCTAAAGTTAAAACTACCATTAAAATGCTGCTTACATTTTAATCTATTTGAAACAATAATCTAATTTAGTAATACTAATACTTACACTTAAGTAAAATTATTGAATGCACATTGTGGTGTTTTACTGAAGTACTTTTTCCACCATTAACTTTAGGGTTAGGGATACTGAGAAAGGTAGACCACATAAATTACTGGAAATCATGCTTTATACCCAAACTACTATTTAAAATGGAGAATGTAAATAGTCTGATTTTGTGGGGACATCTCTGCAAGTGCTAATCATACATCGATATCACTAACTTCATCTTTACACTGAGAATATGTTGACATGTCTTCAGCGTCAGACTGCTTTCTCAAATTTTTTGTTCAGGTCCGTTTTTAAAGACACAGGCACAGACAGAGTCTGTTAGACTTGTGCAGCTGACCATATGCAGTGCGTCTGTCATTCTCTGTGCACACCTACGTGTGCATGTATATGAAGATTACTGATGGTGCAGGTATTTCAAAAAGGGAAAAAATGCACTATATTTATAGATACAAAGCAAACAGGGAGAGATGCGCACAGAGAAAACAGACAATAACACACACAATCAAACGCACAGGAAAAACATAGTACACATCAAGATAACACTTGACATACATACAGTTATTTAACATGAGACGTAAGCCGTAAATATTTCCCAACAGGAGTCAATAAACTTGTGCAAGCTATTAGACGGCCAGTTTGTCACACCTGCGTGTCATATTAGCTAGGCTCCGTGGTGTGAGAGGTGCTAGAAGTGATAAAAGCACGCTAATAAGAGTGTGGGGGACAGAGAAAAGCTATCAATGGCAGGCAGGCATGGCATTTGTATGGAGAGGAGCAGGGCACTGCTGACGTCAGTCTGCAGCTACACACAGCGTCAGCAACCGTCTGCACATGCACACGCTGATAATGAAGACTGGGCTCTGGCTGTCAAGACACGCACAGGAAGAAAAGATGATATGGAGAGAGGGATAGAAAGCACGGGCTTGCTTGATTCTTTTAAGCCCGTTCAGGAAAGACAGCTAACCAGAGAAGAGGTCTGCAGACTGTGTGTGTGTGAGTGTGTGTGTTGGACATAGCTTAATCTACATGGATATGGCTGGGACTGTAACACAGTGCCAAAGCTCAGGCAGGTTTGCTGATGGTAGGCCAGCAGCTGAGGCGACTGAAGGAAGGAGCAGACTGGGATTAAAAACACTGAACTTATGACCCAGGCTGACTCACTACAAGATGTATCCTACACTCAAGACACACATAAAACAGACCTATCTAATAAAATTCAAAATACACTAGAGATGTATTTTCTTTTAACTACAAAATGCATTTTGTGTTAAATAATAAAAGTAAATCAAACACCCTCAGGAAAGCATTTTAAGAATCTGGAATAAAACAGAAATCATTACTAGGGTGAACAAATTATAAAAATGAGAGTTTCAGAATGTATTGCTGGCAATAAACTTATCACTCAGCAACAACCCTCTACTAAAAAATGTATTTGGTAACAATGATAGACATAATTAATCTGACTACATGTTCCTCGTAGGTTGTCACAGATAAACACAAAATCCTTATGAAGAAAGAAAATGTGAACTTACAGTAACCCCATACCAAAGATGAGGAAGTTACTGACAAAATAGGTAAAGCGACTTCAAATGTATGGAAGTGGTTAAGATATCTTTAAAGTGGCAAAAAGGTTTAAGGTTACAAATGCTGCAAAATGCAAATGAAGACCAGCGAACGGACAGAGAGTAATTACAGCACTAGACTCTAATCAGGAAGAGGATTTTTCCCAAACTGTGCTGCACATCTTTTATGAGTGAATTCAAAAGCCATGTTGACACTATTAACCACATTTCACTTTACAACCTGTTATAATGTGACCATTAAACCTACCTTGTACCTTGTACCTTGATATGGAGGCCTATAGATAAACAGTTCAGATTAACCTCTGCATAGTTATAATTTATTGACTTTTTCCACATAATTTCAAATGTATAGACGTTTATTTTAAGTTTATAGGATTTAAATAGTAAGAAAAATTAACAGTTGATACATTTGTAATTATAAATGGGTTTTTTTATAATAGATAATATTCTTTGTCCAAATCTTGCAGCACTAGACAGACCTTTGCTTCACTAAAATATTAGGTATTAGCATTAGGTATGCTATGTCTAGATTCTCTAATTTATATGTCATTAATTGCTCTATGTGGGACAAATACAGTATCAATATACTTTATTTTTACTGTTTATCCCCCACATTTTTAGTCAGCTGCTTTACAAAGTCACAAATAATGCACAATGCAATCTTTATCTCTCTGCTGAGTGGTTCAAATAATGTACCAAATTGAATTTGGTAGATGACAAAAGTGTGAACTGATTAAGCAGTTGTCTGTGAAAGGTGGAAGAGATAAAGTACTTAGTGTAGCTAGCTTGTCTCCAGGACCAAAGACTTGAAAAAATAATTTTGCATCTGTGTTGCTTGGCTCACCACCAGCCCACAGGTCAACAGGCCCAACTGGAAAACTCAAGGTACTCCAGATGGCTAGTCCGCCTATGGCTGTCACTAGTATTGTCAGGGCAAACTGGCAGGACCATGGAAAATTCTTTGACTAGGGAAAGGAGCTTGTG